ATTTTCCTAACTGAGCTCTTCACTCTCAGACTGCAGGTTTAATTGTGGTTCCTATAGTTTCAAATTGCAGAATGGGAGGAAGAGCTTTCAGTTGTCAGGCTTCTCTCTTGTAGAACCAACTTCGTTTCCGTTTGTGAGACTGACACATTTTCCAGTTTTAAGACTGGGCTTAAAACTTTCCTTTTTGATAAATCCTATAGTTATGGCTGGCTTGGGTTTTCTGAGCTATCCTTTAGTTTTGCTGCTATAGGCTTAGACTGCTGGAGGACAAATTAACTGCCAGGGACAGACTCAGACTGCAGCGCGTTGTGCGCTCAGCTGAGAAGGTGATCGGTTGCAGCCTTCCATCCCTCCACGACCTGTACGTCTCCAGGACTGTGAGGCGAGCAGGTCGGATCACAGCTGACCCTGCTCATCCTGCACACGGACTGTTTGAACCACTCCCCTCAGGCAGGAGGCTTCGGTCCATTCGGACCAGAACCTCCCGCCATAAGAACAGTTTCTTCCCCTCTGCTGTTGGACTCCTGAACACTCATAATGCTACCTCATAATTTCTGCTTTGGTCACATTACATCTGTATTATAACTGAATACTCCATCTGTACTGTTTTCTAAGCTTTTTTATTGTTTTCTATTGTATGGGTGTACATATGGTTATGTTATGTTTTTAATTTTACTTTATTTGTGGGTGTACACAGGTCTTATGTCTTATGTAATGTTCTCATTTTTACTTAATTTTTACTTTATTTTACTTTATTACTATTCGCACCTTATGTCGAAGCAAATTCCTAGTTTGTGAACCTCGTTCATTGACATGGCGATAATAAACTGATTCTGATTTCCTCACTCTGCTGTTGTCTTTACTTACTCTACCTGTTTTGTATTTATTATTTTTATCTTAAGGTGTTTTTTGTATTTCCTCCTATAGAAAGTCCACCTGGACCTGCCACTCTGTGTTTGTCTCTCCTTCCTGTTCCTCTCAAACCCAGCTGGTTGAAGCAGATGGCTGCTCGTCCTGAGCCTGGTTCTTCTGGAGGTTTCTTCCTGTTAAAAGGGAGTTTTTCCTTTCCACTGTTGCCTTTGTGCTTGCTCAGATGGGAGACTGTGAAGTGATTCAAGGCAACCTGCTGCTTCCTTAGATGGATAACTTTTATTAATTGGCTTTTTATGCATGTGAATGTTTTTGTACAGTGCCCTGAGATGACTTCTGTTGTGACTTGGCGCTATTGTAGTTCCAAGTGTCCAAAAAGGAGGATTTTCTCCACCGTATGTCTCCACATCCACATCAGCTGGCAGGCACAGTTCTCATCACTGTCTGCTTGGCTGAAAAGTACGTCTTTGTTTAAATAGTTGAAATGTGCAGGAAAGACAAACAAAATACTTAGTTATGTTTTTTCTTTCACACACGTATACTGTACTTATAAAGCTTCACATGGAAGAAAAACATTTTGACAGTAAGAGAAGGAAGAAAACACATTATATAATTGTTTCTATCAGTTGGAGACGTACGTCCAATAATGGCTTCCTGAGTTTTATACAAATCTGTCCAGTGATTCATGAGATATTTTGCTAACACCAACAGTTAATGGTTAAGCTCTTGAGCAGCACTCAGAGTAATAGTACAACAAATTTCAGCACAATATTGGTCAAGCGAACTAATTTATCATCAGTTTTGTGTGATTTTTTTTCTCCATCTTCAGTCACATAGAGACCAGTTTCATTGGTTCACAAGATATTTTGCTAACAGGCATACACAAGCATGCACACTCAAACTTTCACCGTCGGCCTTGGCCTTTTAGCGGCGGGCGATAATACAAACCTCGCTTCAGAGAAACGCATCATTCGATTTTATTTGTTTAAAACAAAACAAGTTTCTGATTTCATCGAGCTTTAGCTCGCGGCCTCCATCAACCCAACGGTCTCCTCTTCAGAAGGAGGACGACGTGTCTGACCTCCTTTACGTTTTCACTGTGAAACCTGGAACTGATTTCTGTTTCTGAATCTGTGCGGCGCTTTCTTTACAGCTCACAAGAAAAACTGGTGAGCATTTTGAGACACCCCCCGCAACTCCTCCAACCCCCATGGATTAAACTATCAGGAGGCTTGAAACTTTCCTTTAGGCACATTTTATCTAATTAAGATAAAAATAACTCCGCCCCTGGGGACACTGGTTAATATGTAAATTAGGTTGCAATGGGGGCAGAGGTTCATGAAAGAGTATATGGTTCTAGTTTGGGAGCTGACATCGTTAAATCAGGCGGCGATCCAAGAATTGAGTGTCCTCTGTGCAGCACGCTCGGCAACACATAAAGTTACTTGACTTAAAAGGATTTGAAACTGTTGGGTTTGAGTTTTAAAATAAAAAAATATGAAGATAAGGGTGAAACTATTTAAATAGAGCAGTGATTCATCAAAAATTTCTACCTTATTTGGAGCAAAGGTAGGTGCTGAAGCCCCGCCCACAATGACGGCGTGACGCAGACGGGTCCAAACAAAAGCTGAGAGGAGACGCTCTTCATCACATCTGCGGAGCATCACGCCTACAGGTAAGATGTTCTCTTTCCTTTTTTTTAGGCAACATTTTATTTAACATAAAATATTAAAATATTTGATCTCACTGTGATTTCTAAGAAACAAAATGAAATAAAAATTGTACATTTCTGAACTAATTCGCAATATTATTTAATTACCTGGCAGAAATGTTTAAATAACCTTAAAACTGTTGTTAGAAATACATTTATACTAATGGTTTAATTTTTATGATGATGTATTTTGACTGTAAAAGTATAAAAAGTTATTTACTTTAGACTTAAAACACTAAAATCAACTTAACTGTTACAGAAATGAATAAGTTTTGTAAACTGATAAACCTAGTAAAATGAGATTATGATTCACGTCCTATCGCAGCAGCAACATAACAGACAAGAAAAATAAATGAAAACTGAGACAAAAGAAAAATGATCAAACAATATGACAAAAAATAGCTTAGCAATAATATCATAAAATGTATTATTTTACAACAAATGCAACAAAAACATAACTCTGCATGTTGGATTTTAGTAGCTAACTTGAAGAATAGCAACAGAGGAAATAAATAAATGAATTTATTTGTACCTGCAGGCTGAAGAATTTAGGGTTGAACTAAAACTAAGAATACTGCAGGAGTAAAACTAGACAAATAAAAGATAAAAATCAAGAAGTACAGTTTAGATGCTCCAGCTGCTCTCGAGTCAAACTCACCCACAAGGCATCACTTTTAAGTGTGGGGTCTGTTGGTCAATTTAACCCAAGGAAGGTTAAAATAATAATAATAATAATAAAAAACTAAATTTGGAATGTATAAAAACAGAATTAGCCAAAAATGTCCAAGTTAATGCATATTCCATAATGTCATGAATCTAATTGTGGATGAAACTTTTTTCGTTTTAGGCCGAACAATCCTGAGGTCAAACCTTCCTCCCCAGGCTGTTCGGACACCCGGCCCCAGAATGACGCACCAGTTCCCGGCGCTCTCCGAGGCTCAGAAGAGGGAGCTCCATGAGACTGCTTTACGCATCATTTCTCCAGGGAAGGGCATCCTGGCTGCAGATGAGTCTGTAGGTCTGTGGCACTGCTTCCTTACTCTTTCTGCATGGGGGGGGGGGGGGGGGAGAGAGCTGCTTCCCGGTGTTGATGAAAACCAGTCAGTCCACCGTCATCTTCATGATTATTGTCTCATTTTTGTCTCACAAATGACGGGACAGATTTAATTGAAACTTCCAGAATTAATTATTTGGTTCACAAGTGATTCAAGATGGTTATAACGGGTATTGTGCTAAACTTTTGTGTTAATGTAGCTCAAAACCAATCACAAGACATACTACTTATTTGGAGTCAACCCTGTTTGTTTGTTAGTAAAATATCTCACAAATCACTAAATATATTTAATTGAAACTCTCAGGAAGCAATTACTCTGTGCATCTACAACTGCTTGGCTTGTGGAAGCAACTAAATTGAAGATGGCCGCCACAGCTAAATGATCCTAGCCAACACATTAATACCTATAACGCAGGCAGTTTTACAGATATTAAGCTAAAATGTGGTGTGTTTGCTGCTAGTACTTTTTCACAACACGTAATCTGAGTGTGATGACTTGCAATGTGGGACTTGATCAAAACAGCTATAACTCTGTCCCTTATCGATAAACAGTAAGGTGGTCCTACTCTAAAAGGTTGCAGTCCTTCTTCAAGTGGTGTCTTTGCTGCAGGCAGCATGGCTAAGAGGCTGTCCCAAGTTGGAGTAGAAAACACGGAGGAAAACCGCAGGCAGTACCGTCAGATCCTCTTCAGTGCAGATGATCGCATCAACGGCTGCATCGGAGGCGTCATCTTCTTCCACGAGACTCTGTACCAGCACTCCAATAAAGGTGTCTCCTTCGTTAAAATGATCCGGGACAAGGGCATCCTGATTGGCATCAAGGTCTGTCAACTCACTGCATGAGCTGTGACATTTCAACTTTGGCAAAAATGGTTTTCGCCTTTAATGGATCTTGGAATTAACTGTGTTCCTGTTCTTCAGGTTGATAAAGGTGTGGTTCCCCTGGCAGGAACATGTGGAGAAACAACCACACAGGGTAAGACAAACTCATCTTTCATTATATGCATGTTTTTGTCCTGTCACCTGTAAAGATCCTCACACATTTTTAAATTATCATTCAGATCTTTTAAAGTGGCGTTAAGTGGGAAATGTTATCAATGTTGTAGAAAATCTGATTCAGTGATATGGTCCATATGTCCTCATCAGAGGTGTCATGTAGACATGTCTGTTCAGTTTAATGTTGACATATTCTGCCTGTTAAATGAAATAACTTCATCCACTTTTTCAATGTTTTTTAGGACAGCATCCTATAATCTTAGATCAGACATGTTCTGAATCTTGGAATTTTCTAATCTCTGGGATTTTCTCATTAAAAAAATCAGCAAGCTTTCCAGTCTCCCTTATATTTTCTGCCACACAAGTTGGTGTCGGAAGTGGGATGATGCCAGACTTGTTTTGGCTGGAATGACCTAACATTAAACTGTGAAGAGTCATGTCCATTACATGACAGGAAGATCTTTTGAAGTGAAAGAACATATTAAGTCTTATCATTGGTGAGGGCCGAAACCATTTTCTCACAGTATTACCTGGTAATGGTTTAAGCAGATTACGTTGTCTGCAAGAATCAAGAAATGTTTGTTTTCTTGAGCTGCCAAGCACAAAGGTTATTTTGGCCAGAACATTTTATCCACCCATCGATCCATCGATTATCTTTACCCTCTTCTTCCTTTCCTGGTCACAGGGTCACTGGTGCCCATACCCAGCAGACACTGTGCGAGAGACGGGGAACATCCTGGACATACTTCATACTTCAGAAAAAAATTATTGGGGTACTCATAAAGCTGCCATGTTTAGGGTTCCTCTTTCCACAAACTAGCAATTTGTGTGTTTTTAAAGATGTGCTATGAAGATTTCCATACCTTATCACTGCCTCTGCCAGTTGCTCCTCAAAATTACCCAATGTATAAAATGTCTGCACCAGTGGAAAAATGGACATGTAAACAGTTATGCTATTGAATCCACGCGCCCTCTTCAGATTTTTGACCAATCACACAATAGCCAAAAGACTAGCAGTCAGCCTGTGTTAGCATTAAACTCATGGCAGCACAGCAGTTTGTTGATTAGCACTGTTGACTCACTACAAGAAGGTCTCGGGTTTGATACCTGGGTTGGACCTGAGATCTTTCTGTGTGGCGTTTTTGTATGTTTTCTCCAAATACTGCAGTTCAAAACATGTATGTTAGGCTGCCTTTGGGCCCAGGCCTCCCTTGCAAAAGAGATCTATGATCTTAGTGGGATTTGCCTGTTCAAATAAAGGTTAATGAATAAATAGGTCTGAGGTCACTCAAAGAGGTACCTACGACAAGACATGCATCAGGTTCACCTTTCAGCCTGAATGTCTTTTGCTTCTCCTCAGGTTTGGACGGACTGTCAGAGCGATGTGCGCAGTATAAAAAGGATGGAGCCGTGTTCGCAAAGTGGCGCTGCGTGCTCAAAATCAGTGACTCCAACCCATCGAAGCTTGCAATCACGGAAAATGCAAATGTTCTTGCACGCTACTCAAGCATCTGCCAGCAGGTTAGGTGTCATGGAGTAATGTCCTGAGAGCAGTCGTTGTTTTGTGATGCATGTGCATTGACTGATAATCAATCCTTCCTGGGTCAGCATGGTATTGTGCCAATTATTGAGCCAGAGGTCCTGCCTGATGGTGATCATGACCTGAAACGCTGCCAGTACGTCACAGAGAAGGTGAGTTCCTCTCTGTAAAGGAGAAGGTGGGCTTTACAGAAGTTGTACGCCTGACTAGGAACTTTAGGAAAAAACAAAACGAAACAATTAAGCGTTTGTGTTGCAGGTCTTAGCTGCAGTGTACAAGGCCATGTCAGACCACCACGTGTACCTGGAGGGTTCTCTCCTCAAGCCCAACATGGTCACTCCTGGACACAGCTGCTCCACCAAGTACAGCCCTGAGGAGGTCGCTATGGCTACCCTCACTGCCATCCGCCGCACCGTTCCCCCGGCGGTCCCAGGTCAGTCCAACCAGATATCTTTATCAGAGGCGTGTTAAATCTGCAGAGTTAAATCAGAATAAATTCCTCTCCTTCTGCAGGAATTGCTTTCCTCTCCGGAGGTCAGAGCGAAGAGGAGGCCTCTGTCCACCTCAACGCCATCAACAACTGCCCTTTGCTCAAACCCTGGATCCTGACGTTCTCCTTTGGCCGGGCCCTGCAGGCGTCCGCTCTCAGAGCTTGGAGGGGACACAAAGAAAACGAGAAATCTGCCACTGAGCAGTTCATCAAGAGAGCAGAGGTGCTTTAAAAAATCCCTAATTTCCTGTCTGTATAAAGTGCTGCTCTTAATCTGCTGCTCTTCTCACAGGTCAACAGTCTGGCCTGTCAGGGGAAATACACCGGCGGCGAGAACTACGGCGAGGATGGCCACCGCACCTACGGTTCCTGCCACGCATACTGAAAACTTTACCCTCCCAGCTAGCTTTAACAAGATAAGCCACCCATTATGGAAGTAAACATGTCCTAGCAACGCATATTTACTTCCATAACCGATGACCAGATATCAAAAGTCTCTTGAGGAATTCAAAACACAAGATGAGGCTGATCCGAAACTTGCAGCAGGTTTTATTCTCTCGACAGACGAGGACAATCAGTCGCTCTTGGAGCTTTAACTCACAAAATAGATGTTTGCTTTAATGGCGTCAGTTAAAACTCACGGCAATGCTTTGACTAAAGTTTTAAAATATCGTAGAGCTGATGTTCCAAATGCTGTAGCTCCAATAAACGAGTTGACCTGGTAGTTCATGTTTGAAGACAGGTGACTAAATAATAAACCACCATTTATTTAATTTATCACCAGTTGTGGAAAAAGTCAACCCAACAAGCTTGTGTAAAAAAAAAAAAAATGTTGTTAGATTTATTTTCACCAATAAAAGATGCAAATGTAGACTTGTTTGGCTTTAACAGAACATGTGAAGTATTAGTGTCTGTAATATTGTTTAATATAATGCAATAAAAGTGTGTTTCATCCAAGTCTGGTCATATTTCTAATGGTTGTCAGGGCAGAAATTTACACGCTGTGAATTATCAGGAAACACGAGATCGTCACTGTTGATATAAATTATTACTTCACTTATGTCGTTTCTTCCTTTTCTCCTTTTTGTGATTGTAAATACGTCTGGCAGTGGTTTCGTTGTGAAATAAACGCATGAAATAAAAGTACAAACAGGAAAAATAAGAAATCGGTAACGATCAAGTCGTTTTAATCAACTGATTGTCTCACATGAATAAAAGTGATGTTATTAAAATTAATTAGATATATTTATCTTTTCTAAAACTGTCTTAGTTTGAACACAACCCAACATTTACACAGATGACTGCTGTGTAATTTATGATCACAATAAGCTTCAAGTTTTTTTTTTTTTGTTAAATCGTTAAACATTTATTTACAGAATTTTATGTCTGAAATTTAATCTTACCTTTAATAAGAGTTGTTTTGTGATTTGTTTAGAATTTGATTTAATAAGATTGCTGCTCTAACCACTCAGCTGAGCAGTCACCTTCCAATGCAAGAGTTGGGGGTTTGATTCCACCAGCAGTCACATGCTGAAGTGTCCCTGGGCAAGACGAGGAAGGAACCCCTCATTGCCTCCGATGTGTGTCCCATCAGTGTCTGAATGTGATGTAAAGCACTGATTATTCTGAGTGCTGTATGAATGGGTAAATGAGGACACAGATTGTGTTGTAAAGAGCTTTGAGTAGTTTGATCAGATAGAACGGCTCTATATACTGTAAGTACAGTCAATTACGGAATGATTGCACTCCTAATATTTTGCAAAAGTTGCATACAAAGAAACAAAAAGGAAGAAAATCTAAGCACAAAAACACCAAAAAAAGAAAGATGAGTAAAACAATCAAACAAGAGTCAAACATAGAAGTAAACACTGTAATGCACATTAGTGCACTCATCTGGTAAAGAACCAAACTGAAGACTGACGGAAAAAAATACTATAGAAATATGATTTATGGTTGTTTTGTGTGTACAGATGTCTTTCCTAAGTCACATCAAATGTTTGTGCTGCAATTTCTTTATCTCATTTTGCACATTTTTGCATCTTAAATTATGTTTACTTTGAGTTTCTTAGACTTGATATGTCTTGTTTGTTTTTTTGTGGAATGAATTTTACTTTTGATTGCTCTCATTTAGACCATTTCATTATTATTTCAATTTTTACATTATTATTACTTTTTTCCCCATTATTATTTCATTATTATTTCGACTATTTTTCAGGTCTCTCTTGTAAATGAGTCCCCTAGGCTCAGTGGGACTAACCTGTATAAATAAAGGTTGAATTATTATTATTATTATTATTGTGTTAGTGTTTCTCTTTTCAATTTTGTGGCAGAACTAAAACAATTTTATAGTTGAACTTTTAATACATGGCCTATACCAAATGTAGTATTTTACATGACTGCCAGTGTTGAGTGCATTATGTGACATATACTGCTATTATGTAGAAATCCATTCAGGTTTTACACAAATTCATAACATAAGTTGCCTGTTCTGGATCACTTTTATGATACTTTTTGTGCTTATGTGTTTTGTTTCTATTCCTAAACTGCCACTCAGTCATACAAGTGAGTGGTTTAGGGAAAAAAAGTTCATTACTATCACAAAACGGCTCAAATTGTCATATTATTGGGACCTTCTGTTTAATTGGTGTGAACTATTTTCTGTAGCGGATGTGTCAGGTCTTCTGGCTGTAGTGCCGCGCCTCGGAAAAGAGGCGCGGATTGCTAATGCTAACCGCTGAGCGCCACATCGAGGGTTGTCCGCTCGGTCCATGTCCTGCACGTTGTAGGGGTTCTGAAACAGCTTTCCTGTTAACAAAGGTTTGTTTTTTCTGTTAGCAGTCTTCCAAAATCTATTTTCGTTCATTTTTGAACGGAGAAGTTCCTCCGAATCTTACCAAAAACCAGAGCTTTTAAAAAAAGTTAGCAGCTATGTCGGGTGTTGTTCGAGGCCCCGCCGGGAATAACGATTGCCGAATCTACGTGGGGAATCTTCCCCCCGATATCCGCACCAAAGATGTCGAGGACGTGTTCTACAAGTATGGGACGATTCGAGACATCGACCTGAAGAACCGGAGAGGGGGTCCGCCTTTCGCCTTCATCGAGTTCGAAGACCCGAGGTGAGGAAGCCGTTGAAGCCTGGCGTAGGCCGGAGCGCGGGCTCCGGCTATTTACTGGACCTGCATTGTTCTGGTAACAAAACGTGGTGCGGTCTCCGACTATCGACTGCGTTTTTACGGCTCACGCGCCGCCTGAACAAATGCAGCTCATTCATTATTCGAAAGTGAATTTGTGAATGAGATTTGCTTAAATTTGCATTTTTTTCCCCCCCCCGTCTGCTTGTAAAACATTTCATACTGTTCCGCTCTGCGAATTGTGGTTTATTTTTTTTTACAGAGATTATGTTTACTTTTGAACAAATTAGGCGCAAATGTTCTGTTTGACGCTTATTCGGGGCGGATTAGCGTTAGCAAGCGTTGGGATCCAGCAACATGGCGGCGTGTGTTCCTGCATGTGCTTGTAGGAAATCATTTTCTCTGCCTTTGATTTAAGTCCTCATTTATTTATTTTGCTGACAGGGACGCCGACGACGCGGTCTACGGACGCGACGGCTACGACTACGACGGCTACAGGCTGCGTGTGGAGTTCCCGCGGAGCGGCAGAGGCTCCAGAGGCGGCGGCTACGGGGGGGCCGGTGGTGGAGCCCCCAGGGGTAGATATGGACCCCCGTCCAGGCGCTCCGAGTACAGGGTCGTTGTTTCAGGTGAGCAAACCAAAGTGTTTTTTTTTTCCAGTACACATTGTTTGGTTAAACGATGCAATTTAGTGCAAAGTTGCACCACTTGTAGCTCTGTTTTTCAGAACTGTGTGTATTTTTAGACACCAGAGGAAGTTAATTATGGTTCATTTGGGTCATGAGACAATTTATACCTTTAAATGTATGAATTGTCTGTTTTAGACAAAACTGATGGGATGTAATGACTGTTTGAAATGGTCACATTTGGTCCTGCTCTTTTATATAACATCACTTGTGTTTTATTGGGTAGCTTAGTACCTTTTTTTTAATTAACGTTCAAACAATAAAATTAAGATTGGCTTCAAAATTTACTTTCAGTTTTAAACGTGCCAGATTTATGTAAAGAAATAAGCTCCTCCAAATAAACAAAAGTATTATTAGGGATGCACAATATTATCAGCATGGTATCGGCCGATGTTGGTGATAAAGTTAAATATCGGACATGGACCATTCCATCAAAATAATATATATATATAGTGTTACTCCATTTGCAGCCCCCCTTTTTGGCATCTGCATTTGGTAGCAGGCCACACTGACAAAGACCATACAGAATAATGTATTTTAATCCCACAGCAGAGAAAGCTATGTAGTCGTGAGTAGGTCTAGGGTAAAGTATTGGTATCGGGTATCAGCCAAATAAGTTTTAACATATCGGATATCGGCCAAAAATCTAATATTGTGCATCCCTAAGTATTCTTGTTTTCCCCGTTTTCAAACCTCTCACTGTGGCTCCTTCCTTGGCTTGGAAACTATTAATAGTCTCAACTAAAACAGCTGCATTGCAAAAAATGTTTTGTCTAGTATTTAGAGGGGACAGATGAGCTTTGAAATTAAGTGAGGGAATAAAAATCAAACAATTGTTTGACTTGCATAAACCCTTTAGAAGCACATATGCATTTCAAAATAAGATGCAGAAAAGCTTTCGGTCTTAAAATGAGTTTTGGGCTAAAGTACGACTTTTCCTTCTGGGTGATTAAGTGCATATGGGTAAAGTTATTTGTTGTGAAAATCTGCTAACTAGTCTGTTAACTGTTGGCTTGTTCTCCAGTATGATTTGGTTGACTTTTTATTTGTTGTTGTTCAGGTCTTCCTCAGAGTGGCAGCTGGCAGGACCTGAAGGACCACATGCGTGAGGCCGGCGACGTGTGCTACGCAGACGTCTACAGAGATGGAACTGGAGTCGTAGAGTTTGTCCGCAAAGAGGACATGACCTATGCCGTTCGAAAACTGGACAACACCAAATTCCGTTCGCATGAGGTATGTGTACTGATTTGATCACATGTCAGGGATTGTGATTCTTTGCTGTGTCTGGGTGAGTACTTAAAAGGAATGCTGTACGCTTTGAGCAAAACCCGAGTTCGCCGTATTCACCTGTATTTCAGCCGGAGGCAGCAATGTCGTCTTTTCAATGTCAAGTTCTCTTGTGTCCGCCAGGGAGAGACTGCTTACATTCGTGTGAAATTAGACGGTCCCCGCAGCCCAAGTTACGGAAGATCGCACTCCCGCAGCCATGGCAGCAGGAGCCGAAGCCGCAGTCGCAGCGCCAGCCGCAGTCGCAGCAATTCCCGTGGTCGTGGCAGAGGATCTCCCCGCTACTCGCCTCGTCACAGCCGCTCTCGTTCTCGTTCCTAAACCACCATCGATGTTTTGCCCCTTTGATGTATCCCCCCCTCCTGTTTTTACCTCTTCTAAGTTTCTCTGGGTGTCAGCTGTTGATTTTTAATTTTTGCATTTGTTGTCCCGATGTCCTTGTGGATGATCTTGGTATGTAGATGTTGCCCCTGTCCTTCTTTCTTTACTCTTTCCCTTCTTCCAGCTGCTTTCTCCTCTTGTTTTTCCCCATCTACCCCCCCCCCCCCCGTTTTCTGTCATCACCAATTTTGCAACATTACAAACTGTTGTGATGAACTTCAAAAATATTGAGCTGCACTCAATGTTTTTGCAAGTGTTAAAAATTGAAGATTTTGTTTTATTTTTTATTAGCCTCTCTTTTTGATGTTTGGGGTGGGCCATTTTGACCGGGAGCCCAATACTTAACTGTATTTTACCCTTGTGTCTTCCTTTAGACATCTGAGGAGAAGGATTAAAGTGATTTGGAATAAAACCATTGTGGAGCACATTTCATTTGTATGGTCAGGATAGGACATCTAGGAGCAATGAGGTCGAGGCAATGGTATGCTTCATATTCCATAAACTGAACATTTTGTTAGGTTTGCCATGTCATGCATGTTATTTACCACGCACACGTGCTGTACTTAGAAAGTCTGTAACTTGCTACTCTACCTTCTGACAGAATAAGCAGTCCTTAAAACAAGTGTTGTGATGTAAGTGTAACACCTCTACCATCAAATGTAAACAAATATTTTTTACAAGAGCATCCCACTTTTAACCGTCCTGAGTAGTTACAATATGTTAGCGTCAGGGAGCAAGGTTTTCTGCTTAGTAGCTTCTTTAATTTGTAAAGTCTTGACATGAGTGTTAAACATGGGGGGAAAAAATTAAAATTAGGCCCAAAAATCTTGACATTTTATTCTAACGGTCTCCCTCTGATTTTTTTTTTCCTGGTATTTCAAGGTTTTGATTGGAGGAGTGGCTCAGTGGATCCCAATCCTTGGAGCTGGATGAGTGGATCGATTAGGACAGGGATAGGCAAGAATGGATGCTTGGAACGGGAGCAGTTTTCCAGGATTCAAATGAGTTATCAGAAGTAATTATTGGGAGTCCCAGAGCAACTTTTTTTTTTTCCTCTTCCCCTTTCATTTTAGGCCCCCCTTGCCTTTTTTTTTTTTTTTAAAGCGTCACAATTATGGCATTATTGTACAAGAGAACGAAACAGGACCAGGAAGTTGGATCAAAGGACGGAGTCGTAGATGCCTGGTATGAGGGAATCGTTTGACAAATTGGGAGGTTTGGGGAGGGGGTTCAGTTTTGGGAGCAGTTTGTTTATTTTGCCTAATCTTTCTTTTCTTTTAGCATTTTCAATAAAGATTTCAAACCAACTTTAGTTTGTTTTTATTTTTTAACAGTTTAACCGGTGTATAGTATTTCAGAGGTTTAGGCTTGATGGATGAATTGAAAGCCTAATTTCCTGAACACGATATTATCAGATAAACTCCAAAAAAGTTCAATCTGGTCCTCTGGACACTCAAAAAAAAAAAACCCAAATGTCCAGAGGACCAGATTGAATTTTTTTGGATTTTTCTACCTGGATTATTGAGCATGCATCAGGATATCAGATAAACTATTTTGAAAAGCTAAAGATATTTACTTTTAAAACAATACTAGTAGATATTCTGTATTTTAAGAATACCTCAGTTGTAAAGTTTGAAATAATCCTGCGGTCTAGGTATTCACTCGTCCCTTACCGTTCGAGTCTGCCGTGAATGATGCATTGTGGGATGAAATAAGATGCCGGCAAAGAGACGCAGGAGACAAGCTCGCTTGGAGGCAGCGTCCCAGCCAATGGCAGAGCGCGACATGCAGCAGAGGGGCGGGGCTTATCCGGATCTTCAACATCCAGCCTACCGTCATGCTTATTGTGTAAATCTTTAAAAAACAATTAGCTGCAGCAGCGCTTAAACCTTCCGGATCGCCTCGATTAATTGCATATTATTGTCTTAACGGAACACGGTTTTTGTTTCCGCCAGGTGTGATTTAAAAGGTGAGTCTCAGTCTTGGTTCGACAGATTCACTTCTACGTTTGCTGGATTTCGGGTTCGAATGGACGTTTTCGCTACACGTTCACACATTTTCACTGTTAGGACGTGAATATACCGAGCCTGCGGCGCGTTAGCACAGAGTAGTTTATTTGCCCTTTCTGACGCAAATGTCGTTTTTACATGAAAGTGATTTTGCTCACCAAGTAATTTAACTCCACCTGTATCAAGTTTCAATTCATGCAACGCTCAAGTCATGTTTTTTTTTTTGTTTTTTTTTCGAAACCCCGGGTGGTTGAAACTTGAGCTTCTGCATTTAGCATTGAAGCTAACAATAATAAACGCCGAATGGGTTTTTTAATTTTTATTGACATGGTTTACGAATTGATCTCTTTTGGCCTAAAGCCCGTCCTCGCTTCACCACGTGCAGTGTCATAGTGAACGTGCCTGTTACGTGTTCACCCGCAGCGGACGACATCAACCATGACCGACAGGAAGGCAGTGATCAAGAACGCGGACATGTCCGACGACATGCAGCAGGACGCCGTGGACTGTGCCACCCAGGCCATGGAGAAGTACAACATAGAGAAGGACATCGCTGCCTACATCAAGAAGGTGAGACATGGACCTGGTCCAAGAACTGTCTTCTCGCAGCTTCCAGGACGATGGTGTCCCTCAGGTTTCATTCTCAAGCCCACAAATGTTCATTCATGCACCTCACTTTGAAAAACACTTTTTAAATACATCCTGGCAAGCCAAAAGGCGGTCAAGTTTTGACCTTTGTGCATCTGTTCGTTTCTCCATAATATTAGCAAAATATCTCATAAACCAGAGGACAAATTTTAGAGAAACTCCCATTTTACTCTCTACATCGTCAGCTGTTTTTGTTTGTTTTGAGTCACCTCAATTCAAGATGGCCACCACAGCCCACTGATCTTAGAAAACACAAATATTGGCTATTTCTTACAGACACCCATCCATTTTCTTTCCCCACTGGTGTCCATCTCCAACAGTCGGTGTGCAAGAGACCGAGACACCCTGGACAGGTCACACCATCACAGAGACAATAGTCTCACTCACACCTCAAGACAATTTAGTTACCAAACAGCCCAACATGAATGTTTTTGACCTGTGGGGGGAAACCGTAAACTCCACCCAGAAAGACCCCTGTGATCTCCCTGAGAGGCGACCACGCTGCTCTGCTCAAGTTTTATCTAATTTGTACAGATATTGAGATAAAAGGGGGTGTGGTAGTAGCTGAGCCTGGTCCCCGACACGTATTGGGGACACAACATACTGCTTGACATCTTTGCTTAAAACTTTGGTATTACCTATTGAAGTCAACCTTGTTTCAGTTAGCAAAATATCCCATTCGTTACATGTTTTAAGTTTAATCAGATAAAAGAAAATATTGAGATCAAGACTGCATTTGCAAGCGTGACCTGGCCAAGAGGTCCGTAGTGCATGTCATAAAAATGGTAACGGTTAAAACACACAAAAAAAAAAATTTAAACAAAAAATGATTAAAAACACAGCTAAATGAATTTAAGCTAAGTAATAATTGACTAATCACAACTTTTGGAGCCAATCCAATCAAGATGGCCTCTGAGCAAAATACTAATTGGTCTATTCTTCAGGTTATTTTACAAACATTGAGCTGAAATTTGAAGTGAAGCGTTGGTGAACTGAAGCTAGCTGACAGCCACGAAGTCAAGGCGCTAACGAAACATGCAATACCACGCAAGACATCACATACGACGGCCAGCTTTTGACCAAAGTAGCTAAAACTCCGGTAATTTCACATAAACTTTGTCATAATTTGGTGCTGGGAGTCATCCTCAACACGCGCTGAGCACTAACACATCTAAATGATATGCATTCCCTGAAGGAAACGTAAACGTGATCACAAAGGACAAAGCTAAAATGTGGGGGAAGGTTCAGTGAACAAGTATAATGACATTAAAATGAAAGCTCAGATTATCATGAATAAAACTCGTAATTAGTCCTATTTAAATAAAAGCCAGGCATAGCAATCTATTTATGTTGCTGTTGTGCTATTTAAAACTCTCAGGTGGCCTGGACTTTAATCTTTATTTATTTTTTTAACTTGGGTGAATTTATCTTTCTTGTTGGATGCAGACCATCACCGGGACACATCGGTGAGGTAAAAATGACTGAAACAGGCGTCTGTCTCTGTCTGTTCTGAAAAACAATGTGACCGTTGCTGGTAAAATGATCAGTCCATCCATTATCTTTACCTACTTCTTCATTTTTGGGTTGCGGGGGTCACTGGTGCCCATGCCCAGCAGTCAATGTGCGAGAGGCGGGGGACACCCTGGACAGGTCTCCAGTCCATCGCAGGGACACGTGGAGACAAACAACCGTTCACTCTCTCACTCACACCTGGGGACGATGTAGAGTTACCAATCAGCCGAACATGCATGTTTTTGATCTGAGGGAGGAAACCGGAGCACCTGGAGAGTATAAATACACATAAATACACATGTATTTACTACACTCCTCCTTTTTTGCCTCTCTTTCAGGAGTTTGACAAGAAGTATAATCCCACCTGGCACTGCATCGTTGGGAGGAACTTCGGCAGCTACGTCACCCACGAGACGAAGCATTTTATTTATTTTTATCTGGGCCAAGTGGCCATCTTACTCTTCAAGTCTGGCTGATCAGTTTCTGGTGGGTATTGAGGGAGTTTTTCCTTCCGGAACCTGAATCTGAAATGCACCGGTGGCTGATGTCTCCCATACACTAATAACATACCATAACGATGCAAAACCCGCCGTGCGCAGCTGCATGGACTATACACTATATAATATGTATGTTACAGTAAGTTTACTTTCCAATAGTTGCCATTTGAATGCAACTGAAGTTGTTTTTGTTGAAGCTGTTAAATTCTAGGTTGTTCATTTCAGCGTGGCCCTTGATTGTAGGATAAAGGAAAGCTGAAGAATGTAGTGGTTCATCTGCTTTCCTGGTTAGATGTTTCCATTTGAGATGGTAAAATCACACCACGGTCACCAGTTTGGGAATTCATTTTAACCCTTTTTTAGCGTCCGATCTTAAATTATTTAATGGAAATTAACTTTTTTTTTTTCATTTGGGTTTTTAAAAATGTCTGAAATGCACAAAATACTATTTTTTTTTTTTTTTTTTATTAAAAAAAAAAAAAAAAATCCCCCACCCAGCAGAGGGTGAAACTTGTTTTTTGCAGCCGAGCTCGGAGAAGATGTCACAACATCTGACAAACTCGACGCGTTGGAAACCGGCACGAGAGAGTGCAAACGTTTCCAGGCGTGTTGAGTTTGTCAAATCTTTAAATGTTCACTGTGAAAGATCCAGCAGTTCGGGCTCACATCCACAGACCTTTCGCCTGTAATGTCCACGTTCCAACAATACAGACTCAACCAAAACCCACTCGTCAGATCTTCGGACTCGTGTCACTGCATGTTTGGAGGACAATGTCCACATTTCATCGAACAGCTACAAGACTCGGTTGCTCTTAGAGGAGAGTAATTACCGTTTTGAGCCTGCGCTCTCGAGTATGTAAATATTGGACATAATTGACGTGCGTCTTGTCCCAGTAATTGCTCTACAGCGACATTAGGCAGGTGTTTTAGGTCGACGCCTGCTGCGAAGTCTTACTAGGCTGCCATCGCCCCCGTGTTTTAGATGGTTGTGTCGTCTCACGTGGCTTGTGATAAACTTGCAGCATCCTGAGCTTTTAGTTTTACGTTGCCTCTGTACTGCCCAGGCAAACAAGGCCGGCAAAGCATTTTTCAGTTTGGACTCTTTAAAGGTTGCTCTCTTGTCAAATTAGAGGTTTTGGATTTTTGTAATATCAGATTAGTTTTTGAAAAGGCGATGTACAATGTTTTGATTCTGATTAAATAATATGTTTGAGGACAGATTGAAGGGTTTCAGTCTACAGAGAAATTCTGACTGAATGTTTACGGAGTTGCGTCCCATAAATCCACTATGGGCGAAATGTTTGTTTGCTTGGACAGATGAAGATTTGTTTTGTTTGTTTGTTTGTTTTTCGAGGAACGTCTTCCTAATTATTGTCGATGTACACTGATTTAGTTTTCTGGCATGTATTTTTGCGACGTACCCGTGTACTGTAGGAGCCGTTCCGATGCTGTTAAATTTGCACAAAACGTGTGCCTGTCATTGCTCTCAACTGTAACTGGCTTGAGTACAATTGCACTTCATTAGAATTACTCGGTAGGTTGCTACAGAACCAAAATTGTTAAAACTCGATTAAATAAAACTTCATTGTTGACTTGCGCTGTGGCCTTTTTCTTTTGTCTTGTCTTTTCTGCTTTGTTTTGATGAAGTCATTGGTTGAAGGAGATCTAAAAAAAAACTTCATTTTCTCATCCATTGCGAAAAGAAAACGTAAAAAATGAAGTAATTTTGCTTAATTTCAGTCTTTTTCCAATCAATATTTTTCTTGCCAAAGGCAGCTAGCTAAGTTTTAATAGTTTGCATTTTTATTGTATAAACGTGTATCTTTCTAGCTTTCAATGAAATGCAAAACTAACGTACACGTGTCCATAAATGATGAATTAAAAGTTTACCACAGGATGCATGTCATCAGTTTCACGTTAACTAACTGCTAACACTAGCTACAGATTCGGGGAGACATGTTGGGAAATGTTTTGCTTCCTTGTTTAATATTTAGAAATAAACATAAATTGGCTTTATTTCGCTAGTGGCGTCATAGTGCAATAATTTAATAAATCATTCGTATTATTGTACGTTTGTTGTATCATTATCACTGGTATGGCTTTGAGTAAATCATAAATCTTCTGACTAGAATAAATGTCCATAAATTTACTAAAAGTAAATATAGCACAAGACGTGTTGTTCTACAGCTAAGCTAATTAGCTGCTAAGGCTAACTTCAAAATATACCAAACAGTATTTTCACTTTTCGGTAAGGAGCAAGTTTAGCTACATTTCTCCCAGTTTCTTTATATTCATTTAATTAAATTTAAACTGAGTCCTAGTTTTACGTGGGGGAGGTTGTACGTAATTGTTTTTGTAAATCAAACCTTTGCTAACGTTAGCTACTGTTAGCCACTAACGACGCTGAACTTCAATAATTCAGTTCAGTTCAAAAACGCTTTAATTCCCAAAGAGAAATAAGCTTCATTGGATTAAAAGAATTAAAGGTAAAATTCAGTGGACACAAACTTAGTGAACTGGAAAACTAAATATAAGTCAAAACGGTCAATGAGATTTATTTACTGTTTATGTTATCTTAGTCTGCACATTCTCTGTTTTTGTAACTCTAAACACAAATCACAACTTTGAGGAAGACGCTAAGCTCTCACTAAGTGGAATTTGTTTCTCTGAAAAGGTTGACCTGATGAGTAAACGGGGAAACCGGTGTAACTGACGACTACATGAATAAATCATTGGAGCGGATCTAGTTTCATTTTAGGATAAAGTGTTAGCATAAGAAAATTTAAGTACCTTAATTTTGAGAGATGCTTTCTGTGTAATTTGGGGTTATATTTACTAAATGTGTAAAACACTTCAAAATCAAGAATAAAGCAAATTTAGTAATCCTAAACAGTATATTGTAGCCAATAGAATAAAAAGCTGAAGGGTGTGGGATTACAGAGTGTTGCACATGACAGATGGAAGCATAGTGTTTAGGTGTTGGTAGTTAAAGAGCTGCAGGGACACCAGTGTGTGATTGTTGTGCGTCCATGAGAACAAGTGTCCATAGCAACAAGTGTCAGATCTTCAGTCGGAGACGAGGAGCACAAAGTATGCAACCACGTCATCGGGCACTGCAGGCTTCTGCTGTTTACCCATATGGCTCAGAAATCTGGACTTTTGGCTGCTCGACACTCACTGGTGTGATGAACTTCAAATTATGTAAGACGCCCCCCACCCCCAAATACAAACACTGGTACAACTTGCTCGTACTGGGCTGGATCCTGTTTGGCCTTCAGAGCTTCCTCAGATACTGGCTGGATGGCAGCAGGTTTGTAAACTGCACATCCTGAGCTCCTGTTCCACCTCATCTCAAAGGGTGTTTGACTGGACTGAGACTGTGGAAGCCACCAGTAAATCCAGACTCTTCAGACCAGGGGATGTTCTTCCAACCTTCTAATCCATTACGGTCCAATCTTGGTGAGCTCATGTACTGTAGCCTCGTTTTCCTGTTCTCACCTGGCAGGACTGGTTCCCAGTCTGCTGCTGCAGCGCTCGTGTGTCAAGGTCGGACAAGTGTGTTCACAGATGTTATTCTGCAGATGTTGGTTGGAACGAGTGGTTATTCAAGCTCTGTCATCTACAACCAGTCTGACATCAACATGGTGCTTTCATCTTCACATCTGGGCATTTTCTCTTCTTTTTTTTTTTTTTTGCACCGTTCTCTGTAAACCATTGAGGCGGTTGCGTGTTCAAATCCCAGCAGATCAACAGTTTCTGAACCGTCCAGCCCAAAAACCGCTCCACATCTAAATTCTCTTCCTCATTCTGACGCTCAGTTTGAACTTCAGCAAGTCATCTGCACCAGGTCTACATGCCCAGAGGTGCTGAGATGCTGCCATGTGATCGGCTGATTAACCATTTGTGTCGACGAGCTTTTGAGCAAGTCGAATAAAACGGCCCGTCGGTGTCTTTAGAAATAATCACGACAGAAGGAATATGCAGGATACATTGAATATTTAATCAACATGTGGTCATCAGAAAGGAACTGCCTTTTATAAAAAAAGAAAAAGTTTTTGTAGTTCCTGCTGCCTCTGTTTAGAAACGTTTTAATAAGCTACACAGGGTTTGAATAAAAATATACTGATAATGTAGAGTCCAGCCTTTCAATCTACAACTACAAATTCAAATCTATAGATTTCTGCTTCTTGAACTCTGAGTTCTCCGTCAATTATGTATTTTTCTTCATATTTTTAAACTTAAAATGCTTATTTGAAGCTGTGTAAAGGCCTGAACTGTGACGACTGCAGAGAAACGAGAAAGTTGTGGTTTGTTTAGAAGAAATCAGTTTTACAAACTGTTTTAAATAAAGGCCGAGCTGTCATGGTTGGTTGGAGGAGTTGGACCCAAAGATGCAGACTGGACTTGGGAAGCTAAAAATATTTAACAGATTTTATAAAAACAAAAGTGTGGCAGTAAAACTTTAAAGAAAATCCAACTCGGTACAAGGAGACACTAGAAAAATCCCAGTATAGCACAAAACCAACACTGAATAGAAAAAACAGCTGATGAGAAAATGGAGACACCTGAGCCGAATACTGACTGGGAGCAGGTGAGAGTGGGCGTGGCAAGTTGAGTGGAGCAGGGAACAGAAGTGATGGCACAAGTAATAAAACTGAACTTCACAAAATATAAACTAAACCTAATCCTGAAACACAAAAGGGTGCAAACAAAAACTAGAACAATTGCATTTCCTGAGAGAATGCAGTGTGACTGCTTATTGCTGAAGAACTTGCTGAAAAATAGCTGAAATTAGCTGAATAAGATGCTGAAATGAAAGAACAAGCCTTAATTAGCAGAAGAAAGAACACATTGTTGCTGAATTGGATAGAAGTTAACAGAAACGAGCACAAAAATTAAGAAATTAGCTTAAAAATATCTGAAAAGGCTGAAAAAAGTTTAAACTACCAGAAGGAAGTGAAAAGAGCTGAAATGAGTGCCAAAAAAAATGTGGAATTAGCTGAAAAAGCTAAAATTAGCATAAAACAGCTAAATAGTAGCTGAAATAGCAGCAAATGCTGAAAGGAGCATAACAAGCTGACATTAGCATAAAGAAGTTAATTAGGCTGAAAGGAGCAGAAATTACCACGAAAAACTTGAATTTATCTGAAAGCAGCTGAAATTAGCTAAAAATGCTAAATAGGTAGCTGATTCGGTAGAACATGCTGAAATTAGCAGAAGAAAGCAGAATGAAGACATTTGCCCAATTGGGCTAAAAGAAGAATAAGAAATGAGCACAAAAAAGTGGAAATTATTTGAAAAAAAGCTGAAATTAGCAACAAAATAAAAAAAAATCTGAAAAGTAGCTAAAATCAACAAGTTTAAATTACCAGAAGGAAGTGGAGAGAGCAAATTTTTGCTGAATTA